CTCTTTCGGTGTCTAGCAGCACGAGGACTGGGATACTTCCAGGTTGCCAAAGTCTAGACAGGTGAAGTCGAGAGGGAGAGATCGGGTTTGAACCATGAACCTTCCGGGCAGTAAATTCTCGACTCCTCAAGCAGTCAACGCCGCAATGTTTCGGTTTCCTACTCAAAATATGAGAACAAAACTTTTGCAGCTAACAAAACTTACAAACAAATAACTTTTGTGGGCACAAGACCCGCTGACAAGGCTTGACTGAGTTTAGATTTTCAAAATGGTATTTTCCTGTTCCAAGAAGGAAGTAGAGTCGTCCAGAGGGTGGTTAGAACTGTAAACTTGTATACCTCGGTAAACAATAGTAACTGCAATATTATCCGGAAGTGTACGTTTCGCATGGATACCTGTAGGGAAAAGTGTGATATCAGTACTCATAAAAATATACTGATCTTTCANCATAAAAATATATTGATCTTTCAAGAACTCAATAAAATGTTGTGAATGGAAACTTCTCAGCGAGCAAACCCTTAACAAGAAACCCACATACGTAAAGACTTCCATGTTTTTACCACTCTGCATCAATGAAACAAAAAAAACCCTAGGGGACTTTTTTGGGAGGTCAAACATTGGACAGTTTCTACTGCCTGGTTTGCAGGGTGGATATCTCTCTAGTTAGGAGCAACACGAAGAATAAAACAGGCAAGTAAAAAAAGTAGACTGTCCACTTCAACGTTGTGTTGGATAGGATATCGAACATATGATGGAAGTCTGATGAAGTCTGGTTTGTCCGGCACTGCTTTTACCAGCAAGCAAGCTAATAACGGCATTACATAATTTTAAGCTGTACTCCTTTTAAATACTCTGCTTCCCTTATTCTTGCGTTTGCCATAACGACAGCCTCACCTGCGGAGGCCGCAGAACTCCGCAAAAACTGCACTCGCATTCATACAGTCTTTTACTCGACACCTGACAAGTATACTACCCTCCCGAGACCCCACACACCACACGCATTAGCGTCTCTGTTTCACTCGTACAGACACAATTACAAGATAGCTGCCATAAAGAAACTTTGTTGCCTTGACCTAGAATCCAGTGAACAAAAACCTGGTTCGTGCTCACGATTCTCAAAGCCAGTTATGGCAGCGAGTGTGGGTGTGGCAGAAGTAGACAGACATGTCAAATTCGCCAAACGACCGTCTTATTTACACCAGTTCACAGTAATATTTGCAAATCCACCAAAAGTTAACTTATTTTCACAAAGCCAGCAGAAACAATCTTTCGGTTACGTTCGATTCTTTGTATCGATCGCGTGGTGCCAATCCAGATCAGTATCATAGGTTGCTGTGGAACGCAGCTAGTTTGATCAGAAGACGAACTTAATGACATATGAGGACCTCTTTATCATTAGTGGGACAATGGGAAAGATTTAGGAAACCAGCAGAAGAAATAATGGCCAAACTTGATGAGGAAAACGATAAGAAAAGTCACAAATGAACCTATAATAAGAAAAACTCATCATATGGAACGGTCAGTATTTTGGACAAGATGACCAATTTGCAAACATTTGCATACCATAATTATGTATAAAGCTAGAATATTGTGAAAATATTTTGTTTGAATCGAACGGGAATGTTCAAAAATTTGTGGTAGCGGGAATTCCCTACTTCAAAGAATTTATTAAACCGGCAACTTCAACTTTGAATGCAGCAAAAGCAGGGCCGAACCTTCCACAAAACTTCAAACCCACAGTAAGAAAGTCTCTTTTGCAGGAATCAATTCGGTATGAAAAGGCAACAAGATTTTTGACTACGTCGGGGGTGTTGTGGCACTCGTTACGATCAGGAGTGGCTTCATAACTAAACTGTCTAAGGCTTTGCCTTCAAAGGTTGCATGCCATCTGCCATAGACTAGACGCATGGTAAACGTACACTTTGGGAAGAACTCACTCCAAGCAGACCACGCTGACAGCGTGTGCAATGCGTTTCTGAAGCCGTCGCCTTTAGACTCCACCAGCGTGCGTCTCATGTACACGCTGCCTTATGCGATACTTCCGCTTGGTGGCAGTCAACGATGGGTTTCTAGTTGACAGTTGACGGTCGCTACTCACAGTGTTGCTGAAAACTCTTCTACAGCCAAAGACTGGTTTCGCACTTCTCGAGGCTCGTCAGGTAGAGGAGTTTCCGTCAACCTTATGTTCTCTATAATGTACATGACAAGACTAAATTTGTACCAGCAATGTAATGGCATGATTGACTTAAGAAGAGGATCCCGCTAAAGTCAAGTCTCTTTGAGCCATCTCCCAGCGCCGTACATCGCTTAATTTCCGGATACCGGAGTAGTTTTTTCGTGCTTCATTCATCGTCTCATGTTTCTAACCGATTTCGTGCTCATCGTTCTTTGATATTGAATCCACTCCCCCCGAGTTACGCCATAATAGTAAGTGGGAAACAGTTCGTTGTAGACTGTTGATCATTCCAAGTTCAACTGTTAAGAAAATTCTGGGTGTACAGCACTGTCTTTCACGGTTAACGTTTAGATATCCAGGTACCATCCTCTGTGCCAGAATTGTCGTTCTGTAAGTATTGATGAAATCACTGATGTCTTTCAGCGTCCAGTTTGTGCAGTTCTCAAGCAGTTATGGAACGAATTGCCGAAGAATTTTGAAAGAATCTAAACGTCTCGATCGATATTCCGTCATTCCATCTGACCGTCGAAAGTATCAGCTTTAAAAACTCAGCAGCCCGAATGTTTAGTATACTTTTGTAACCGAACGGTCTTCAAAACCTCTGGGTAAAATTGATTCCTTCTGGCTTCATCAGTGCTTCTTTCGTTTGACTAGCTTGCAAAATAATCTGCTTTTTACTATCTGAGGGGAGTAATCGAAACGACTGCTTCAACTTCATTAGGTCTGTTTAGATTTTACAGTTGGACTTTTAGCTCGATTTTATTGATTTCTTGGAGTTTATTATGTCCGTCGAAGGCGAAATTGGTTTCCACAATTCCTTGGGGCTTAAATTCCCATGAGTAACAAGAATTGCGTGTCCAGTTGTTCGGTTGATTAGAACATTTGATTGATAGTTGTATCGAAATTTTGGAGTTTACTGTTTGAATGAAGTGTCCTTGGAAAAAAACATAACTTTAGATAGGAAGTAATACAGAATTTACGCTGTTGGCCGCCAATTTTTATTAATAAAGGACGATGAATGGCGTCATTCTGCCTTCTCTATAATCATCTTCAGAGTTCTTGCAGATTTTGGGATTCAAGAAGCTATCTGTCGTTATTTCTTGTTTTCCTGACAGTTTTCGCACAGTTGGCTAACTAAAAATTAACGGTTGGGAGCTATAACACACCAATCCTCATAGACGTTCTGTCCAAAGGTCACATATTTCTCTCTTCGGAGGTGTTCGTTTCTTGGGACCGTTACGTGACAAAGTTGTGTGAATTGATTTTCATGAATATGAGAAGCTGTAGGAATCGGATTTAGACGGGGGATTTCGAAAACACTGATCGTTTAGACCCACGCAGATTCTGAGCAAGATCGACCTATAAGCAAATTTTTTCTTAGGATAAGTGAAACTCAACACTTTCCGCTTGAAAATGACATGAAGCGGGGTATCTTGGAAATTTCATGCTAAACGGGGTACTGCATAACCAGATCTTCAGGGGGGTCTTGTCTACTTTAGTGCTGAGTTGATATTTGCTAATTTTGTTCATAGCCACACCACTCGTTTGAACGACCGTGTTCCTGTTCTGGCGTAATTATTCCGGTGAGTCCACACCAAAGGGAAGCACTGGACTCGAGTTTCGCTCTTATTAGAGCTTATCAGCAGTGCATATCCAATGGCCGTGCCGGGATTTGAACCCCGGACATCTGACATGCGAGGTGAGTACGGAACAACTACTCCACCAACGCACGTTGGACGTATCTGAATATTCACGTCTGAACAGGCGAACGGGTTCACACTTGAGCGATGTGATTGGTGTGCCCGACTCTGCTTTCTATTTATGCTATGCAGCGATTGGGGAATACGCAATACAGGCTTTGTCCTGTAGGCTTTGGTATACTTTCACGAACGGACCCAGTGTAGTCGGTAGATTGAAGAAACATATGTCAGGGGGAACAGGGCTGAGCTTCGAAACATTTTATCATTCGGAGATGAATTTGATTTTGACGACAGACTCAAACAAACTAGGCTGAATCTCTCTTTTACGATGTTTTCTTCCGACTGAATGTGCTGCAGCGGGCCAACTCATGTTTCAATTGGCACGATATTCGAGATGTGACAAAATGTTGTCTAGAAGTAACAAGCTACTTATATGGTCAAAGAGTTTTCAGCAACCTTATGAAAAGTGTGTTATGTCTAGGGATGGACTTTGTTAAAATCTCACGCCTCAGCATTTCACACTAATATACATGAGCGTGCTTTGGTATCATCATTATCATTATCATTGTCATCTGTAATAATCACGTACTCGTCGTACAGTGGTTGTAGCTGCCACAATTTCGTTCACCGATGAATTGGAGGGGTGTAGGTAGCTGCGCATTGCAGGCGGGAGATTATAAATTGGTGCATAAGTCCAGCACTGTCAGTGGGCTGTCAAGTGGGGGGTTGGGAGGGGAGCTATGCGTTGAAGGCAATAGCTTGGATGCACGAGCGCCATTGAGGGCGCGACTGGGCCATGTCTGATAATGTCTGCAGCCATTGATGTGGCCCGTCTGTGCGTTGATCTAGTGTAGGCATCTAGCTGGAGATGAAGATTTTCAATTGAGTATCTCGTGAAAACCGAACTGATACGCCGATGAGAGTGTTTGTCTGTCCATTTTGGATACAAGTATAACATAAGTTTGACGGAAATTCGGGGAATGTGCCCCAAGACGGGCGAAATCGATCGTGAGCTGTCTCAAAGTTTTCAGCAATCGTGTGAGTAGTTTCCATTATGCAAATATACTGCGATACCTGGAGTAACGTGCCAACTGAAAGATGAGGCAGCACACTCAGTTGTAGAATATAATAAACTAAAAATATTATCATTTATTTTTGAAGAGCATGGTCACAAACATAAAAAGTGAGTGCAAGCGATGAATGCGAAAGAGTAACAGGAGAATATGGGAGAAAAGAGAGAAACGTCTCATTCGAAATCATGCCAAGGGAAGTGCCAGTCTGATGAGGTGAATCCCAAAGTATGTAAAGATTTTGGAATGGGAACGCGTCTAAGGACCGACAACCAAAGAAAGGACAAACAAAGGCGCAGTGTGCGCTAGCACAGTCAAGACTCGCACATCAGGCACAAAGTGACCGTCATACTGGGTCTGGGGTGAGATTAAATGGCAAAAATGTACCTT